ATTTTCTAAAAAAATACTTATTATTAGAATATAAATTTTTACCAATAAAAATAATTAACAAAAGTTGTATTGAATAACTAATGTTATGAACTTAAATAATATGTAAATAACTACGAAAAATTTAAAAAATTTTATTGTTTGTAATAATAAGTGATTTTCCGGTATCGAATTTATGTATCACATTTTCATAAAAATTGTGCTATATACAGTTTAAGGGATAGTAAGGAAAGAACAGTAATGTTGATGGTATTTATAAGGAGAATTAATGATTTTTTGCTAACCATGTTTGTTAATAGTATAAATGTTAAAAAAAACAAGATTTTAGATAAAACAGTTTTGTTGTACAACAAAATTGATAACAAAAGTAGCAATAGTAATATTAAGCATAGTGGACATTTGACTCGTAATCACGTGCCGTTATCATTCAATACCGTTAGCAAAGAAATTCTTCACAAGTTTATTTTGTTGGTTCTAGGCGTTAGAATTAGGGTTGGTTTCCAAAACTGTGGTTTCGCAACTGTGCAAAAGTCACTGGTTTCACCACAACTTAAAACTAATTTTGATTTTTGACTTTTGAGATAGCTCAACAAATTTTTGATCAAATGCCATCACCGAAATTTCACATGCATATAGAAGTTTAAAGCATATATATTTGGAAACTGCTAATATGTAAAAATAATGTTATCTCAATATATAAATAAAATAAAGAGTAATAGTTATTTGAAGTTAGTCCCAAATTCTTCTCCTCAAAAAAAGGTAGACAGCTCATTGGCATAACCAAGTCTTTATCAATCTCATTCATTGTCTAAAACAATTACAAGTAGATAAGAATAGAGAGGATAATGTGTATACAAATCATGGGATACCAATATATCAAAACAAAGAATATTTTTATTTTTAAATAATAAAATTATTTATAGATTCGGATCGATTTGATTCGAATCAAAGCACTTATTCGAACGAACCGAATCAGAAATTTGGTGATTTGAATTTCATTGATTAATTCGGAGCCTCGTGAAATTCACAAGAATTTTTAATTCGTAATAAATTAAAAACCGGTTTCTATATTAATATTAATATTAATATTAATATATATTAATATAGTATATATTTTCTCGCGCTTCTAAACATTCTGCAAAAAATCATTGTCATACAAATAAAAAATTTAGTGAAACATAGATTTTTATTATATGTTGTATAACCATTAAATGTGATAATACACCTTGGTTTTTGCGCAATAAAAAAAATGGGTAACGATCATTACAAAATCTAGATTAGTACTAGCCAACGGAATCAAATGCCCATTATGCTTACTACTTTTGTTATTGTACAACAAACTCGAACCTGTTTTATCTAAAATCTTGTTTTTTATTAACAAACATGGTATCAATAACAAAAAGGCATTAATTCTCTTATAAATACCATTAACATTAATAATAAAAATATCGTTATTTCCTTACTATAACGTTAAAAAAAGTTCTTCCTCTTTTATAAACCGAAATGAATTTTCTTTTTCCTGAAAAAATAGATTGTTCACCATTAAATTTAGGAATTATCGATGGAGTGCCAATTGCATACTTGATAAATAAACAAGTTGTTTCAATAAAAAATAATTTAACTCCTAAATATGACGACGATTTGGAGTTATGTTCATCTTTTAGAATTTCTAATTTAAAATTAGAAGAGGTTTGTAAATCAAAAAACATCAATGTTATCAGTATGCTTGCTTGTTCGTTTGTGCATTCATGTATTTTTTTAAATAAAATTTTTCACACAAAATTAGGAAGAAGATTTTGATGTCGATAGAATAATTTATAAGATTTATAATTTCGTCATCCCAAGTAGTGCTAATGACTTTTTCGAGATGAATGCTGAAAAAGATCCGGATGTAGAAAATTCAGTAAAGGCAAGTATTGTACATCCTATAATTAGTTAGGTATAACACAATTTTACAGAGTTCTATCCCTGCCTGGAATTCCTTGCAAGCCTCGCTAGCTACTGATTTTATTTGTACACTTATTTTTGTCAAACATAAAAATTTAATAAATATATATCTATATGCGTTTATTTCATATTCCATTAGGTTACATTTGCTTTTTTAGGAAATATCAATCATATAAGAATTTGGTTGATTATTTAATAGAAGCCGAGTCCCATGAGTTGTTGTTATGCATCACCCAAAATGGATTAAAAGATTGGTTACCTTTAGACCTTATGACCATAAATGAATTGGGGTCATATATCAAGATAACACAAAATAAATTATTAGCTGAGAGCCGGATTGACGAACCAGATGAAGTAATTGATGCAAATAGCTTGTCTTATAAATTAAAGGCATTGTCATCGTTGATTTTAAATGAAAAATTGTCAACAAGTGATTTGCAAACCGAATTTCAACAAGTGCTTGGGGGTCTAGATATAGAAATAGGTTTGATTGATATCATAAACGAAATCCATGAGCAAACCAATTCAGTTAATAAACGTATTTCTTCAGTAATGTATTTGGTTAAAAGGTCTAAATCAATCAGTAATATTGGAGGATTGATGAGAGTTAAAGAAAAAAATGATAAGAATTGTTATTGAACAATTAAAACATTTGATGGGTGGCAAAGTTGCTAATTTCGTAAGTATAAATATTTTGTATATTGTTATTTATATGTTTTTTTTTTATACATGCTAACAATTTATTTATTTTTTCTAGGTAGAAAGTTTTACTTTCCTTACAGCTATTACATTATACAATTTTTATCATACATTTAAAAGCATTTATGATATTTGGGATCAATTTAAAAAATGTGACAAATTGAGTAAATATCTATCAGAAAAAAAAGGCTATTTAAAAACCCATTTATATGAGATAGATTATTATATTAAAAAAATGTTAAAATCACTAAATGATGATGATGCTAAATACGAAGGTAAAAGACATATATTTTATTATTAACAAATCAATTTATTATATTACAAATTAATTGATTGTCCATTTACTATTTACTATATAGATTATTTGGAAAATTTTAAAGATCTTAATGAAAAAGTAGAAGATTTCGTCATAGAAGTTAAAGTGACAGCTATTCATTGTAGAAAAATAATTGATGGATTATGCGAGAAAAAGAAAAATTATGAGGCCGTAATTGGTGTAGGATCATCGTAAGTGTATATATACAACTTTAACGGTCATGCGATTATACTGTATGTTAATTATTATTTAAAATTTAGAATTCTTGGTGGTGTTGGATTGGGATTATTTGGATTTCGTTTCCTTAGAGAATGTATTAATAAAAATCAGGTAATGTCCATATTAACACATATAATATTTATTAACAAATATTAAATATTAATAATTATCATAATTTTTTCAGATTATAACAAGTTTAGCAGTGATGAGGTTAAGTGAAGTAAGTTTAGCTGTGTTGGCCGCTTTAAGTAGCAGTCTAGGCAATAAAATTGAAAATTTCGATAAAACACTTGACCTATTTAAAGATTTGCATGAAAAATCAGAAAAGAAGAAAAATCGCCACAATCGCCACCACATTGAATTTGTTGAAAATAAACAAAACTTGATTGCTGAATATGAATTGCTTGTGTACGAATTGGAGCATTTGAATCGGAGCTTTGATAAGGAAAAAATTTACTCAATGTAGTAATCATTAGTTTTTATTATGATTGTATATTATCTATCAATTTGTTTAGATAAAAAATTGGCTACTTGCTATAGTTAGTTACCTTGTAAATATAAGTTTTTAAGATGTAATGTTTTACTTTATAAAAACTAGCTTTGAATCTCTTTTGCTTTCTTTAATTTCTCATGTCTTTCAGCGCCAGGAAGTTATATTTCTTGTTTACTTTTAATCATGTCACTCTTGAATTGTTTCTATGGTTCTTGTTAAAGGAATTTTTGATAAATACAAAGTATCCAAGAAAAATAATTAATGCAAAATAAACAAAAAGATATTATCAAAATATTGTCCGCAGAGGCAAAAGTCAAACTAAAATTAAAAATTATATGTCAAAACTAAATCAAAAGTCAAAAATCAAAATTAGTTTCAAGTCGTGGTGAAACCAGTGAGTTTTGCACAGTTGCGAAACCACAGTTTTGGAAACCAACCCTAATTCTAATTAATACGCCTGGGACCAACAAAATAAACTTGTGAAGAATTTCTTTGCTAATGGTATTGAATGATAACGGCACGTGATTACGAATCAAATGTTACTATTACTACCAATTTTGTTGTACAAATCTGTTTTATCTAAAATCTTGTTTTTTAAGCATTTATACTATTGACAAACATGGTTAGCAAAAAATCATTAATTAACATTTAGAAAAAGCGCAACAAAATTCGTGTAAACAAAGGTACTAATTTCAGTAATGATGTTTTATCTAATTTCGCAACGATTTGTCAATTTGTTTGTTTTAAAAACAAGTTTTTAAACGAAAACGTGACAGCGAGCTTCGTGTCTTTTACTCACACAACGACATCACTGAGGTCAAGACAATAATAGTCTATTTTATCAATTCAAAAAAATACAAATAGAACGGCCGTCCCCACATTTTTTTTTTGTAGAGAAATTCCTCTCAGGCCATTTCAGCGCACGGAACTCAACTTTCTACGACGTTCCTGTCCATCTTCAAGCAATCAAGTTTACAGACGATGAGCACATTCAAACCACAAAATCATTTATCATCACACAACGTTATACAAGATGGTCGAAAAATAAAAATACCACTGCGCCAAGTGTTTCATAGCA